TCATCTGAGAAGTGACAGTAGGACTTGCATATTTTAAAAACTGATCTGAATCTTGGGAAGTTTGGCAAGAATTACAGCAGTGGAAGGAAATGAACGCCCGTGGTATAAATCTAAAAGATGGGCTACAGAAAACATCTTTCTGTCTATAATGAAACCGAAGAGTTGTCATCTCTTCACATACACCTTAACTCCTACCAAGGACTCTGTGGAACCAGCCTGCTTTCTCGCTACGTAGAAAGTGGTGGGTTTTGGTGTTGGCTTTTTTTTCCCCTTTTTTACCTTAAAACAAGCTTAAAATGCGAAACACGATTAGAATATTCACAAATTTTCAGAGATGCCTTTCTTAACATAAATAATCTGTCTGTGACCTATCTTGTTATGCACATTGTTCTATTATTCCTTATGATTATTATTACTATTACTATTCCTAATTATTGTTATTACTATTATTCCTAGTAACTGCTACATCAGTAGTCCTAGAAAACAAGCTATTTTGTTTATCCACTGGGAAGTTTAATAAAGCTCCTTACTTTCTTATACTTGCTTTAGCTCCAAAAGTAGAAACAGGTAATTTTTTTTTTAATTGCAAGATACCAATTAGTTGTTCCAGTGCTCAGCTGGTGTCCACAGAGCCCCAGGAAGTTCAGGCTTCCAACGAGCACCACAGACTGTGTTTGCAGGTGTGAGGGGCACTGTGTTGTGACACAGGTAGAGCACAGCGACGGTTTATACCAAAATAAGAAAAGTTTGACGTTTATGTCAAGTATATTTAGAAAACAAAAATCTTTTGTGAATTAAGTGATTCCTATGTTTAACGTGCCCATTACAATTACCTAAGTAAACTGCTATTTCAAGTAATATTAACTTGAACAAATAACCACAGCAACTACTTTGTGTAATACAATATTCATTCACAAATTCTAGAGTCATTTCAAAATCCTAAATTCTAAAATGTCTTTCTGTGATTGGGAACATTGAGACTTCCAGCAGGATTCCTTGAACTTACTATTTAAAGCCAATCCTTTATCCACAGAAAATACTCAGTTGTTCAAAACTAAAAAATGATTAAAAAATTATTTAGCCATTCCAACATACAGATTTAATTTGCAAAATGTTTCAGCCTTCTTAAAAAGGAACATGGCTACTTACCCTGTAAAGGGTTGTTTTTCTTTTTTAAAGGGCTTGAATTTTCCACTTTTCAAGTACGTACCTAATGTCACAGTTTCGATAGTGTCTCCCTTTACCTGAGGAAATTAGTTGATAAACTAGAACAGTATTGAATAGTGTACTTAAAAGCCATAGATGCCAACATTCAATTCTGGAGAAAAAGGATGGTAATTAAATATGCATCCTTAGAAATGGCTGTTCTTCCCACATGCATCACCACGAGCAAACTCCCTGTACGTGTGCGCGCCGGCGTGTTGGCGGCAGGGGAACGAGCACCGCCAACATTCGAATCTGGTTTTAAAAATCTGCCATTTGTTTTCACATCATCAACACAAATCCACAGAGATGAGCTAGTCACATTCTCTGGGTGGCTGTTTACGTTTGGCTACAACTTTGTGAATATTCTGCACCTTACACTACTCATACTCCCAGCTCTGCTAAGGAAGTCTTTTAAGTGGCACATAGGGGTCCACCCAGATGACCATACAATGAACTTAAAACACCATCATTGATCTTACTAATTACATCTGTCACGTTACGTGGTTCTTGTTTCTGCTCGGCTTTCCTTTCCTAACACCATTCCAATTGTTAAACGGTCAGAACACACAAAGTGACAGATTTAGTGCTTCCTTGGCAATTTATATAACTGACTGCAACTCTGTTGTTGCAGTGAATCATGATTTATTTGTCTTGCAATGCAGCACATAACCTTTTAAATGCTGAGGAAAAAAATGCCAGCGCCTCTTTAAAGTTTATATATGACTGCCCACCACCATTCCTCACGGCCGAGGTTTTCAGAGACAAATGATAAAAACAAGCTGCAAATTCCACCCACCTCCTCCCAGCCATTTCCTCCGCTCATCGCTCACACGTACTGTATTTACAGACAGGCGCCCTCACCCAGAGCACCACTGCACTCCTTCCCCCTGGGCAAGAATATTTTTCTTAAATTAGTGACAGGTATTCTCTGCTAAACACAGAGGAGGGCAATGCTGATCTCGCCCAGCCCTCTTACTGGTGTGTGTGTGCCACACTCAATCACCACAGGTGAAATTAAGAGTGGACTGAAGGGTTTTATGTATCAATATCTCTCCATTCCAAAATTGTGACCCCAGTGCCTGTCTGTGGCCTTTTGTCACACCCTACTCTTTTTATTTCTATTACCTTTAAAAAACAGTTTAATGTACTCCTCCCCTTCTCCTCATTCAAATATACTATTTTATTGGGGTGTTTATACTGCGCCCATCTCCCTGGTAAATGAACATCTAATGATTCACTGCTGTCCACCAGTGCCGAGCTAAGCCGAGAGCCTTCAGCACCTTTAATTATGAAAGTGATAATGAGAGAGGAAAGATTGTTTACTTTAAATGGAACAGCAGTATCTCCAATTAATGCAAATAGGACCTGCTCATTGAAAAGCTATTTATCCAACATGCACAGCACAAAGTGTTTGGATAGTTCTCCTTACGCTATAATTCAGTTTTAAAAATTTAGGAGGGGGAAGTCAGGCAGCAGGTAAAATTGTTTTTCCCTCAGATGGTGACTAGGGAATTAGCAGTCCACTCCTCAGGTTGTAACACTGGCACACCACCTTTCCTTGGCAGACTTAAAACTGCCTGCAAAGGCGCCTGCTTCTCTAAATTGCCCTAGTTTGCAGGAGGAAAAGAGGGCTGCAGAGATAAAGTGACTCTTTCCAATCATTCAGCAGATTCAAGCTTGCCCATGGCCTGCTCCTACCCCATCTCAGCCAGGCCCTCCACAGCCCAGCCTCCTGCTCCACTGCCTGAAATCCATTCCCTAAATGTTTGCCCAGGTGTTTAACAAGCAAGCAACAACACTGCTTTGCACAGTAAATACGCTTGCAAGTTGCACAAGTTATAAATCTAGACTTCAGTGTAATCTTCTCTGGAAATATACCCCACAACCTCGGCTGTTTTAATTTTATATATATCTATATATAAAAAATTATAGTGCTACACATGACAGACTGCAATAGAAATTACGCCAGCTGATCACGAATGAGAATCCTGGTAAGAACATAAAATGAAACATGGGTAAATCACCACATGAAGAGAAAAGTATAATTTATAGAATAGCATTTCTGTAATAAAGAACGGAGGTGACAAGGACTTAAGCTGTGGCAATGCACCTCATCCTTATCAGGTGTGGAAAAACTGCAAGCCCTTTTTCTACCAGATTGTGATACTGTTCTATAAAGCAAACCAATGTTAACTTAAAGGAAAAATGCTTCCCTTGGCCATCCTGAGTTTTGCAGGTCAGTGCAAAATAAACAAAGAATTTAGTTTCAAACATTTCCTTTCCGTTTGGACAATGATGGTAAAACCATTTAAAGCAAATTTGCTGTTATGTTTGTAAGGCAGCAGCATGTTTAGAACATTTAATTAGCCACAGAAGGTGGTTAGACTCAGTGCAGCATTTAACTTTCCACTTTCTGGAAAAAACCAAGGCTATAATTTAGGAAGCTACATAAAAGTGCATTTACAGGTACTACATGCTTCTGAAATGTTATTGCTGTTGAAAGAGACTTTATAAATCCGTATTACTTTTACAAAAAGTAAGTATACCTGTGTCAAGGAATAAATATCTAAAATTAAGCAAATGAGAGCAACTTTCATCTAGCAGTGGTGAGAAATAAAAAAAAAAAAAAAGAAATACTCATCATGGTATAGTCCACTAGACTGATAAAGGCAGAAAACCCATGGTGGGTAAACAAGTGAGTTGAAAACAAACACCTTCCCCCACCACACAGAAAAAAAGCAGACACTTTGCTGTATGAAACAAAAAGCGTACGTCGCAGACTGGCACATTTATGCCCACAGCTGCCAATGGTTGAAGCAAGTTCTTATGCCAACAAATAATTTTGCTTTATCAGGCTAACTTCAGTCACTATCTTTCGGAGTTTTAGGAACTATTATTTGGAAGTAGTTACTAGTAGAAACAAAGAAGCTTCCCTATATAACAGTCCACAATAACAGGAAACAGGAAATAAACCCCGTGTAACAGGTGTTTCTCCAGCAACCACATTATTCCCAATGAAAAATATTTTATGACAATCTTTAAAGAGATCTGAAACCAAATTCCAGCTTGGGGGAAACAAGCACAACTTCTGTTGAAGTCAATGCCTCGCATAAAATGGAATACTACAATACAAATTCAGCAAAATCAATGCTTAAGTTTCAAATATAAACTCTACCTTATAGGTTGGAAGAAGCCACTTGTAATCATAATTAAATGGCAAATAACACAAATTCAAAGTATATCAACCAACTCCACTGCTTTAAGTGAAAGAGCTGCCAACTCACTAAGAAGGTGGGCTACTGAAAGAGAACACAGAAATTCCTCTAATTTAGTTATATTTTACTTTAGTTGATCAAGCTTCCATTTTCACAGGAACCGTCACTAAAAAGCCAGTTACACTACTATCATTCTTACTTAAAATAATTTTGGCTGATCCAAACAGTGTTCTCAAAACCCAGCCAGAGACAAGAATAGCTTTGCAGACCCAATATTTATGATGTGTTACATAAAGCAAGATGCTATATACAAATTGGCAGCCAGGTGTACTAACTAATACACACAGAAAACGTTACATGAAAAAAAGCTAATAAAACCAAACAAACATCATCTTCTGGCCTCCTGCATATCCAGTATGAAAGAAAAAAGTGAGTGTTACTCTGGGGAAAGTAAATATTAGCGGCAAGGACGACTTAAGCATGATCATTTCCTAGAGTTTAACAACTGGTTTTGTTTCAGAGGAAACACACTGCAGTATTATCATTATTGTTCAAATAAATTGCCATCCATAATCTTACCTAGTTCTGGGGGCAGCACAGTAAGACGATTTCCCTGGATATGAAGTTCCTTAAGCTGAGTGAGCTCACCAATTTCTTTAGGCAGGGATATCAGGTCATTGTCTCTAAGACTCAGCTAAGAGTGAATAGAAAGTAGTCAGAACAATTTTCAGTGACCATAAAGCAGCCCAAAACAGAACTCTACTCCCTCTGTCCCCACCTTTCTCCTAAACGCTCAATTCTTCCAATTTATTTACAAGTGTCTGCTGGTAAACAAGAAACTGTTCCAGGTGTAGTGGTCTATTCCTGCAAACATACCCTACTACTCCTCAAATTGACTAGATTCTATTCCTACAAGCACTGCAAAAGTGAATTGATTTTCCAAGAATTTAGATAAATTACTTACTATCTGCAACTTTGTGAGCTTCCCAATATCTGGCGGCAGGATTTCAAAATCGTTGTCACTTAGATAGAGTGCACGCAGGGTGGCTGCAAATTAAATAGCAATATATAAACAGGGTGGCATATAACCCAACCAGTTGAGGTCTAATCAATAAAAGGGAGTCAGGTTTGATTAATAACCCTGACTTGGTGAAAAGCCTTTGACACACCCAAGGCTCACAATAGTAACAAGCAGGTCAAACTTAGATTTACTGGCTTATTGTATTTTTGGTGAGTTCAGGAAAACATCTATATTCAAAAGGACTAGCACAATTAACAATTTCTACAATAGCAGATTCTGGCAGGTTCTGGCATATAGTCTCAATGCCCAGCTATCAGAATACAGTCATTAGTCTTTATTACCCCTGATTCTTATTTATTACATCAATTTGCTTCTTAAACAAACATTAAAAAAAACCCAATCATATGAGATTTTTGGACAAATACACATCTGTGTTAAGCTCTATAGAAAGCAGAGCCTAATGCTGGGGAAGAGATCTTAAAAGAGACTAATACAGAAGACACAAATTACATAATTTATAATTTCCATGCTCAGTCTCTGAAATTCACAGAAAAAGAGATGACCCAGCACAACCACGTAGCTTGCTATTATTGAATGAGCATACATGACAGTTTGAAAAAAAGACAAAAAAATTAAAATGGACTCACAAAGAACTGTTGGGTGCAGGGGGAAGGAAGGTGGTCAGTCAGCAAACCCTCTCCTCCTCACCAGAGAGGAGATCCCACTTGTCTTGAGGTTTACTCCTTCTCCTCTTTTCATTTCATTATATGTGACCCTTTTTAATAATGCTGACTTAAAAACGTCCCTCTGCCAGGGTACAGTTATGAAATCCCTCCTTCCTCACCCATCACTTCTGCTGCTAAAGGCACCGATCCCGGAGCCACCTCAGCCCAGTACAATGAAAAGACCAGTAAGGTAGCAAAATCACTGAAATTCAGAAAGAATTCAAGTTGCTTAGGCAACCATAACGCAGCCCTTTTGCACATATGCATTACAATACCTTTATTTTCGTAACCTTACCATCATTTTTTAACATATTGGATGCTTCGACATCCACGTGCTGTTAAAACTATTTCAGTAATGAACCACCAGGAACACAACTGTTTCCAGAGTCAACACACAACAGTTGTCTTGCAAAACAGCTTTTTTTCCCCTGAAGTTTGCAAGCCTCCGTGAATTTTTAAGTTTTAACTAAGTATATGGGACCCAAGGAGATATTACTCAAAAGAAAATTAACATACCATTACTAACCAAGTCTTCTCATGTCCAATGGTGTCAGGTGACTGTATAAAATTGATAAATATAGCTGAGCTATGTAGAAACAGTCAAGAGATATTCAAAGGAAAACATAAATATCAGAAAAAATTCTGTTGGAGTTTGGTCTCCGTGAAATAAATTTCAGCTGCAGAAAACAAAGCACCATATCATGCAGATTTGTAGAGTTTTTAGAAAAGTTTCTTACTCAGATAGAAGAAGTTTCCTGGTAGAGAATTTTCATTTAAGTTGTTGTAAGTCAAGTCAAGAACCTCCAGAGCTGGTAAAGAGCCAAATCCCCTTGGCAAGGTGTTTAACCTGTTCATGCTGTAGACAAAGAAGGAATAACAGAACGTGACATCAGTATTCATTTCATCTAGTAGGAATAATACAGGCAACAAGAGTTTCATTTCTAAAAAAAAATAATGTAATCTAAGCCAAATTATGCTTTCATTTTGAAACCGGCTTGACGCTACGAGATACTAAGCAAGCCTTTGGTGATGCAGACCTTTTATTATCCCTCACTTCCATAAATATGCCCCAAACTTACACACTCAGCAAGGGATCCTGTCAGCTATGTCAGCCAACAGCCACACCTGAAACATGAAGCACGAGGGAGAGATGTGCCACAGCACCACACGCAGCTTCAACAGCGTGCCACAGAGAGAGCCAGTCCTCAGGAGATGACCTGTCTTCTGGCTAAACTACAAATTACCCTTTTGCACATCACCGTGACCATCTGCCATTCTGCCAAACCACATAGCTCTTCACCATGGCACCAAACACAAAGAGGAACACCTCAACTACATGGTATTTATGTTCATTGATAATTGCTGCTCGAACCCCTTCTTAAAAACAGCAAATTTGTGTTGCTAGATAGCTATTGATGCACACGGAGCACAAAGTAAATAAAATGCCAGTCCTCTGATTGATGAGGCTCGGTCTAAATATAGCTCGTTCAGCCTGTCTGAGAGGGTTTAGGATAGCAGTTCCCACTGGCAACAGCCAGAAGAACACAGGGAAAGCTAACAGTCGGAAAAGACTTCTCTGATAACCCAGGACAGAGAAGCAACAGGGAACCGTAACTTTTCTCTGACCTCAAAGGACTTGAACAAGGTGATCCAAATAATCACTAGAGCTGCTGCAGTGACAAGGAAAGGCAAGGAGCTGGAGACAATACTCACAGTACCTCACTGTTTGTCTACAGCTCTGGCTTGTTATCACAGAACAGCATCTCACTACCAGCTTATTCTTTGAACTGCCCCTACTGCGTGTACACCAAACACAACACTCGGGTGTGTGGACCTTGCTTCAGTTGCCACCCGTGTTTGACAGAACAGCATCTCACTACCAGCTTATTCTTTGTACTGCCCCCACTGCGTGTGCACCAAACACAACACTCGGGTGTGTGGGTCTTGCTTCAGTTGCCACCCGTGGAACAGAGGAGACAGGCATCTTCAGGAAAAGCATGTACAGGCAGCTATTCTGAAGAAGGAGATTTTATTCTTACATGATGATTGGAAACAATCATGACCTTTCACAGGTTATTTCCAAATATATCCTGAATTTTACACTCCTCCTGATGCAAAAGTGATAAATAGCAATAGCCACAGCTGAAGTCATGAGGAGATTCAATGTGATGTATGAAGCATGATGTAACACTAAAAGGTATGAAAACTCAAGTCCTGTATTGACAGTTATGTACCAAAGAATAAAGACTTTTGGCTCTAATCTCCCTCATGCAATGTTTGTCAAACACTGTGCTATACTATGTGATAAATAACTTGAAATATATCTGTAGGACAGCTAATAAGCCCATCTTCTAGAAGTTATTTAGACAGTGAATTAAACACAAGAGCAGCTGCACTTCCAGACTAAGCATGATGACTACACACCCACGTGGGCAAAGGCAGGAGAAGCACAGACATTCCTTGTACAGACTCTCAGACAGTAACTTCACCTTTCCTCTCCCACTTCTGCAGAAGCCAGCCCCACCAGAACAAGAACCTGTAGAGATCAGCTCTCTATCACTAACCTCTAGATGAAATCTTCCTTCTTATCTCCCGCAAGAAGTCCTACCAGGGACTTGCACTTAGAACCATTGTAGTAGCAGCTATAAGAGTACAGAAAGGCAATTCTCCACTATTGCTATGGTAGGCCTGTCACTTTTTTAAACATTGTTCTTCATATGAAATAGGACTGAAGAAAGCAGCTCCCTTTTCAGTAGTAAAAATAATAAGTGGCCCTGACAGCCCTCCCTTTTGTAAGCAAAGGAACAGGGAGTGAAAGAGTGTTCTCCCTACTGTCAACAGGCAGAAGGGAATCTATTCTTTGGTGTGGAAAAAGAGCCAGCTGGATGTCCCTGCCCAGCACTATTCAGCCCTGCAGAAGTTCAAACACTGAGCTTGTGTCACAGAAACCATGCCACACTCACCTTCCCATTTTTTTTTCAATTTAATTATTCAGCTTTCAGTGCAGCAGCACAGCTTCCCTCTTTCCACCCCGCCACCCGACCCTTCTGCACCAAAATCCTCCCCAAAATAATCTATGCTCTAATTCAAACTTCCCCTCTCCCCCGGAGGCTGTTCATGGATTCACCCCCCGAGATACATAGAATCCCAATCATGAATTAATATTTCCTCTGAAAAGCAATTCCATGTTCAAACAGATATTAAGGCGTGCTAGAGACCTAAGTGACCAAATAAAGACCAGAGAAGACAGATAGTAATGAAAACATTTATTGGCATTCCAACAGTTTGAGATGCAATTCAATTATCAGCACTTTACAAAAGCATCTAAAGCAGAATACACATATCTTAGCCAAAATAATTTGGTATTTAAAATAGTAAAAAAAACCCCTCAGTTTCAGGTCTTCAGAAAAAATACAAACTTTCTTTCTGTGAGAAGCCCATAAAGCTAAAGCTTACCCCTAACCAGTGTTTTTCTAATTAATTACAGTTTAATAGGCTCAGTTAGTTTTAAGAAGGTTCTGTGCTTCACATTTATTTTCTTAATAATTCCAGAAAGCCTTCTGGAAGTGTAGATATTATAAAGTATCACCAACTCTACTGGAATATAGTACCTGAACACCTAACAGGAACAACTCCAGCTCAAATTCAGTCAATACTAGCTCTTTGAAATAAATACACATGATATTTAAAGGTTTGCTGCTTTTTTTACAGATTTAATAGAAATTGAGACATCTTCAATTCCAAATTTAGGACTTTGGAATGCAAGTCCTAGATTACCATGGAAAAATTAGCTTTTTTTTTTTATAAACAAAGCAGAATATAGAGCCTGTCTCTTATACAGCAACCACAAATTAAGAAACAGTTGCTAAGGAAGTAAAATTCAATAATTATTAAGTTTGACTTCAGTATTAGATGAATGTGAGTTGCTGTTTGACCTTAAATGGTTGGCAGTATACCAGGGTAAGTGAGTAAAACGCTGAAGCCACAATTGCTGAGATATCACACACACTTTTAAAAAGAAACTTTAATAGCAAAAAATAAGAAATTCCAGGTTCAGTTTTGACAACCTTTGAGGGTACCTCTATTACAGCAAACCCATTAAGATACGCACCCAAGATTCAGGTGTTTGAGCTTCTGAAGGCTGCTGATCTGTGTAGGCAGCTCCTCAATCTGGTTGTTGAAAAAGTTGAGCACTTCTATGTTTCTCAGGTCTGCGATGTTGGCTGGCACAGCTGTGGGAGAAGTTTTCACAGTGAGAGACCACAACTCAAGCAAGCCACCCAGGCTAGAGATGCTCTACGAGCACCTGCCTTTCGCTCTGTTTTCTACTGTGGCTGACAGCAGAAACAGCATCTAATAGCTACTGCAAGAAAAGCAAAGTTTATATCAAAAAAAGCCTCCTATCTGCAATCTGTTCTCATCCCTGAGAGCAGTCACTTTGTACTCTTCAGAAAATTACTAGCAATATTGTAAGGTATTTTGACTAACAAAGACCACTGCAGAAAGAGACAAGGACAAAAAAATGCTCTCATAGACTAATAAAGAGAAGCAGGTCATCCTCTGGAGCTCGTGTAGCACACACGGGTCTCAGAAGAACAGAGCCTTAGAGATTTGGATCATTTCATTGTTTGAATTGAAAAAATGAATGATACAAGCAGTTACAACAAGACAACAGTTTTGCAGGTCTTTAACAGCAAACATCAAATTCATTTTTAGCAATAGCCCATTCTGTTTAGTGCTTAAATAATCTAGTATCCAAGTTTTTCCCATTTAAGATACAACAAAACTTAAAACAAATGAAGTTCAGCCCTAAAAGATGAACTTCAGCCAAGCCCATTTTCAGTTACTTCCAATGAGTGAAAACTAACTGATCAATACACATACATGGCTACGTTGGATTACCAACAAATCAACATCTGCTTATTGTCTAGAAACACACAAAAAATAAGGCAGAAGCACAATATGAATATGCTTGTACAAGTGAGATTAAAAAGCTATTCAGATTTGCCTTTTCCCCCTTACACTTAGTGAGATTTAAGCAGACAGCTGAGGTTTACATAAAAGGAGGTTGGCAAATCACCTGCACTGAAGCTTGCACCTGCGTTCAATATTCACCTTGGTTCAGTCTCAAGTTTGCATCAGAAACCCGTAGAGTACACATCTAAATAATCAGAAGTTTTTATGAGGCCATGATTTTCTTTTATTTGTTGGCAGGAGGCAATCTTAATCTTAAAATGGAGTCAATAATGTTTACAAAGCAGAACATTATAGTATGTCACATTTACTAGATTATATGTCTAATTACATAGCGAACAATACCAGGATCCCTAACAAACATTCTAATTACACTACATAAATATTACTGTTGAGGGTCATATTCATTGCAGGAGAATTTTAGCAGCCCTTTTTTTTTTTTTTTGGAAGTCATTAAGGCAAATCTGAACATTTAAAAGCCCTCCCTCTGCGGTATTTTCCAACTGGCCCATGCATATCTGTCACTCAATGACAGCATGAATTACGTGCCTTCAGAAAGTAAAGGATAATGTACTACTACTGTTGTTTTAAATTATTCCCTAACAGAAGTTAAGCGAGGATTTTAATTGACATAATTCAGCTGTTTCCAGCCTCAATATTTCACCAGAACAGTAATTACCAGTATTAAAATGTTTTCCTTTCAGAAATTAGACTTTATAATTTGACTTTGATGAGATGCAGTGGACTGGCAAACCATGTTTCTGCTCTTCTCAAGCAGACACTGTGTTTATGCAAGACTTAGGAATCAGAAGTACTAGCAAATACAGGTTTTATTTAGTCAAAGCCTCAACAACACAGTGACCAAATACATTTCTTCTGAAGTTACACTGTTGAAGCAGTTAATAAAAGTTTGGTATGAAGGTTTTTGATGATGTAAGAAATTTTTGATTTACACCATTTTTGATGGTGTAAGAAATTACACTTTTCCAGGAAAAAAACAAAAAAACAACAACAAAACCAAAAACAAATGTAATGCAGAGCTGTGTTGTGGGAACACTGGAACAAGAGCCTGACGTTCACCAGGGCAGACTCACCAAACCAGGGGGCAGCTTGGCTGCAACTCTGTATTTCAATTATTCAGGTTGAACACCATCACCAGACAATAAAGGAAAAATGACATTATCCAAGACACTGAAATTTCTCAAAGTCAACTAAAAAAATAAGTACATCTTATACCAGGGATCACTCTATCACTACAAAGAGAAGAAGCCATGAAACCTTTGTGATCTTGCTATGAGGCCGGACTACAGAAACCATCAGACTACAGAAACCATCAGATTATAGAAACAATTTGTCAGTGCTACCCTCACGTGAGGAAAACTAGCCATTCCCAGCATGTGTTTCAATTCAATCAGCGTTGGCCAATGGGCACCTTACACTTAGTTGGTCCCATTCACAGCAGATTGAGTTACCTAACGACCTCTTGCATCATGGAGTAGCAGCAAAGCTATTCTGCACCTGTGACCACAAATGGGGACAAGTGCTCTCCAAGGAGCCTGATGGAGTCCAAACAATAAGGGACATCAAAGCAAAAAGCTGGGCCCAGTTACTGAGCTACCTTGAATTAGCAACACTGATTTAGTAGATGTGTCCTTTCAAATACCCGTCCAAACCAACTTCTTTGCCCCCTTAAGACTAAATGAATTCTTAAGTTTGTATCTCACTTCTAACTGAAGCTAGGACACTGTGGAGAGAGGAAGAATAATTTCAAGGAAGAAGGTGAATAGTTATCTTAATAAAGAAATAAAATCACCCACAAAACAACCCAAAAAACCCCATGAAACTACCTAGAAAAAGATGAACGCTAGACCTCAAGCCAGGAAGAAAATGGTTTCCAGAGATTTATTAATAAAAATTACACTTGCACTGAAGATCACAGCATCAAAAAGAACCCTAGTTTCAACGGCCTACACCACAGTTGAAGAGGTTCAGACCCTACCTGCTCATCTTGCTTGCAAACACAGGGCAAAAATCCAGCTTCCACTGGCTGGCGTATCAGAGCTTTGAAATTTGATTTTCTTTTGTCAGGGCAAAGGTGTGAGTAAGTGTCCCTAGTGACAAACAGGAGCTATGTCCTTGCACGCTGTCAAGTAAGCTTCTGATATATCTGTGTAATTCCTACATACTGTATTTTACGTTGTGAATCACACTTAGGACACTTTATATCGTTATATTATTCAAGCTGTTCTAAAAGCTGCATGGGTAAGCAGACTGAGATGATAAAAAGGCTAAAATTTTCCAAAGGATATGGTTAAAATAGTTTGCATCTCACCCTGTTAAATCAAAATACAAAGCCTTAATCCACAATTGTATTTTTTCGTTTGGACAGAGGGGCTGCAGGTATTTCTTGAGGAGGAAGAACAGAAGAGTAGGCTTCTGGTAGGGGAGAGAGGACTTTTTCCTGTAACAGCTTATCTTCTGGTTCAGCAATTCAGATGAATGAATGCTCTCTTGGATTCAAAGAAAAAAAAGACGACCACAATTAACTCCTGTACTGGTCTTGTAGCTAAACTACAGGTTCAGTACTTTCAGGGCTGAAGATCAGCGGTGGTCAAGCAAGGTTGACCAGCCATAGAGTGTCCTCTGTTCTGAACTTTACAGGACTGAGTGGGTCCCAACTACCATCCCACGGTTATGTTGCACAATTCTTCCCAGATATATAGCAGACTGCCAAATATCAAGAAATTCATGTTCTGGCAATACTGAATTCTACTCGAGTCACCTTCTCATGACGAGCTGTGAGAGTGAACTGTCAGCATCCTGGTTCCATTCACCCACATATTTACAGTACGATCCACAGTGTCTTAACAACTCTTCTAAGACCATCTGCTGCCCAGTGTCATTAACAACTAAACTCCTCCTCAGCACATGGTAGTAAAATTTGGCAGCCCAGTGCCTTTGCGTTCCTCTGTAAAGCTTCAGTCACATCAAGACGCCCCATTCATATTAAGTCTCACTTCACAAGACCATGAGTAGCTTCCTTCCCCTTGTGCAATACTGGAAATTGCACACAGTGATTCACTGTGACAGCTATAGACTTCATCTTGATTTCGAGAGCATGGTTGAGAGTAAAAGTGAGAGTCTACAGGCTGCACAGCAAGGAATAAGAGGACTTTGATCACGCTCCTGGAAATAAGGATTGGCAACTTGTTATACTTGAAAGCATTTACAAACAAGTATGCTCTTTTTTGCCCTGAAATTAGTGGCAACTCTTTAGGTGCTAAAATATATTCTCGTCAGAGCAGCCTTTCACTCAAGGCAAGTTATTACATTTTATTCCTACATAAGCAACAGCTGTTCAAAAGTTATGTATGTTTTTGAAATCATATCAGAAGGGGTTACATCCAAGCTTTCTCATAAAGCAGGAAGTCAAGTTCTTCTCATACCACTACCTATGACTGACATTCAGATCCAGCTCCTTTCATATACCCAACCTCTAACCAAGGAGGAAGAACAGGGAAAGTGGAAGAGGAGAAAAGGAAGTGAGTTTTTCCCCCTCCAGTTCCACTCCGCAGTCATTCATCTAGGTTTCAATCCTCTTTTGGTGGCAGGGCCCTTCATACAGCTGAAAACACACAGACTTCAGAAAGTCTCTATTTCTGCAAGCAATCTCCAGGATTTCTCTTAAAGCTTCTGTGAGGCACTGGAAAACAACACAACTTTAAAAGTAAACAAACTCAGGTATTCGCAAGAGTAAGTCTCCATTTGCTTTTCATCTAAAAGATGAAATTTAGTCTGATTTTTTGTTTAGCAGGGACCAACATTAAATCAAACATTGTTGAAGACTCTTTTATTAAGAGACCCATACCAAAATTTTCTTTACAATTTAAAACTGAAATAAAAGGCATTTTAGACCAGGAAGCTCAGATGAAAAACATGACAAGAGACAAGCTTATTAAACTACTCAATTGGACAAGTGAAATGATTTAGTGAAAATCATAGTCTCCATGAAAGGAACACATGGTATAGAAACCGAGTCAAACATTTTACTTCATTTATACCTTAATACTCAATGTTCAAAATAAACATTGTCCCACTGCTGCTTGGAGTATCTATAATACCTGCCTATTCATAGAACTGTGTGTGAGTAAACTTACAATCTCCTCCATAAATACGATTCAAAAGCTACAGAAAACCTCCAACTGAATTCAATGGATTTTGAATTAGACAACAACTGAAAAAAGAATTTTAAAAGATA